TTTTGATGGAAGAAGTCTTCATGATAGAGGTGGCCTTCCAACTGGGCATTGAAGAGAGTAAAACTTGGTGAGCAGAGAAGTGGAAAATAAAGCGTAACGCTTACAAAGATTGGGATACAGAAGGGAAGATCTTAAGTACCAAGGAGAGCAGCTGGATACTTTTTTTTCTATTGGTTCAGAGAACTACTTAGAGACAAAAATTTGTGACCTCATATTACATGGGAGCAATTTGACACCCAAACGGTTTTCAATGGTGTTTAAATATATTGCTGTAAAATTTAAAAAATATTTGATGTCAAACAGTTCTTTCTCTAAATTCCCTTTTTATGACAGGTTAAGAGTATGAAAGGGGGAAAAAAATCTGAATGGTATGAATTAATCATTTTAAGTATGCAGAACAATATTTAGATTTCAAGTCTTAAGAGGTGCTAACAGGACTGGGAATAAAACTAAAATTTCTGGCTTTGTCACCAATCTTGAACAGATACCTTAATTTTCCCATTCTTAAGATATTCACAAGGTAATAGTGGATTGTATGAGAATGGGTGGGATAGATAAAACATGAAAAAATAAAAGGACTTAGGTTTCTGAAAGGTATGACATGAGTTTAGTACTTTCATTGCTATTTGTAATCATAAAGTTTTTGGTTGATTCAGAATTAATAATAATTGTATATTGCTTTACTGCTGTGCCTTTCAAACTTTTTTTTAAGCTATCTTTATATTAAGTCTGACCCAGAGGCTCATTATGTAAAGTAGGTGAAATCAGAAGCTATAGGTAAAGCAGAGCCTTGACGCTCCCTCATTCCCTTCTCAAGGTAGGTTCTAAGGCTGCCCCTTCCCTGAACCCCAAGCTCTCTGGAGGCCTTTCAGGATCCCACTGCTTTACAGGCCACAAATCAGAGACATTTGCGTGATAGCCTGCAAATTAGGGGGCATCCTCACCATTTATATGTGGATAAACTGAAGCTCAGAGTCACCTGACACGAAGGTCTTCTAAACTTAAACCCAGTGTCTTTTAATGTTACTTATTTTCAGTTGGAAAGTATTTTGAAAGGATATCTTGCCCCTTAATATCTAAAAGCAAACTTACTCAATTGTTCTCAAGGGAAACTGCACGTAGAAAGTAAAAAATGAGTGACTTGGGTACCATTTAGCTTCCTGAAGCAGTGTTTAATTATCAGATATGTTGGTTGACTGAACGATTGAGTGCAGCTTGGAAGTCAATACCTGATTTACTTTCAGGGCCTGTGCTAGGAGAAAATGGCATATATTTATTTAGTAGGCCAGTCAAGCACAAAATATTACACTTGGGATCATGAATTATCAATCTTTGCTTTTAAGATTTTAAAATATATTTATTTAGAATAATATATTTAGAATAAGGATAATGTCAGCTAGAGAAAATATTAAAAGTACAATTCTTTTTAGAGTTTAAAACTACCATTTTTATTTAAATTCATTTTCATTTAACGTTTCTCCCTTGGGTCTCTGATTTCTAAGTACTATGGTAAATATGTTAATCCATCCAAAAGAGCTTGCTTATTAGACTCTTTTAAAATATGTGCTAAAGTAAGGAAAAATCCTTATTCATTGGCGTTTAAGTTTTCAGGTCTAAGATGGTCTGGGTCATTAGAAGAATCAACTGACCTTAGATGAGTTTTCAGTTACAAAAAGAGGCCCATCCTGAAAACAGTGGTTTCCCAAACCTCCCATTCTGCCAATGGTGTGATGGTAAATTCTGTAGGAGACTAGGCAACTCTTGACGAATGCTCTGAGTTCTAGATTTATGATCATCCTGATTTCCTTGTTTCCATTGTGGGGTAACAGGCCTTGATGCTTGGGTTGCATTCCCAGAATAAGAAGTTGTGTAGAAGGATCATCAAACCATCATGGAGAATTTTGGGCCATTTTGTGTTTATATGTGTAGGGAGGAACAAGATTGGGGAGAGAAAAATGATGCAGTCTAATGAATCAGTAACCACACAAAATTTTCCCAATACGTACTAAACTTTTGGTATTTAATTATAAGAAAAAAAATTGAGTGACCAAAGGACAGGTGGAACTATGAGGTTTGCATAATGAGGAGTTATCTGTATTTCCCTGGTTCCATTAGGCAGCTAAAATTTTGTACTTTGCTATTCTTCCTGCTGACATTGTTATATCCTTGCTGTCCCAAGAGAGGTGACTAATTCTCTGTTGGTTTTATGAAAGGAAACAGGCAGAATAGCATGACTCACAATTATAATCTTCCTTTTTTCTTCATACAAGAAAATTGGCTGGTGTGTGTGACTTTATAAAACATTTAATTGAGAAGAAGCCTTACTAATTGCATTCAGTAGAGTGAAATGCCCCGAATAAGACCATTTATTGGTTAAATCACATTATCAGCAGAGCTATAAATCTGAATCATCTCATCCTAATGAAATTTACAGACTTTTCTTTCATTCATTTCAGTTTTTGTGCATCAGTTCAGCTTTATGTAAATGTACATACACATATAAAGTTGTATATTTCAATGCATAAATGAAATTAGGGCAATTAAGTTATTTTAATCAGACACATTAACTTAGGGGATTCTTTTGTTTTATTATTTTTAATGGTAATGGTAATGATAAGACCATGGAACTTTTCGTGAAAAACTTATTGACAGTAGACTAGGGTCCAGCAATTGGATTTCCTGATTATGATCAAAAATGGGTATAGACTGTATGCTATATGAGCAGGATTATCCCTGAAGGTTTTCTAAAGGAGGCTTTTGTAGCCTCTGTTTGATAAAAATGAGACAAAGATTTTACCTACAAAGAAGGGATAGAAGATTCATCCTCTGTCCCCAAAAGCAAACCAAATCTTAGTTTTCCATTCCTGTGGTATCTTTAGTTCTCTTTGACACTGATTTTAGCTTTGACAGATAGGACTTGGTGGTTGAGAAATAATGTCCCTCCTAAGTCCTTCCTTCTGTCAGAATGTCCCAAGGTGTTGTCATTGTTTGTGTGGGTCTCCCTTTGATTGTGAGTTCCTTGAGAAACGGTCTTCTTTACCATTGTGACTTCAGTACCCATCATAGGGGTCACAAAGAAGCAGCTAAATAAATGTTTGATTGAAGGCAAAAATATACTTAGTCCTATGATGCAACCACTAAATACTTATAATATAAAATTATTTTGTATAATTCCATTATAGAATTATCCTCAGAAAATAAATTCCTTCAGAATTTCGTCCAAGGTAGTAAAAATCTACCATTTCAGGCTAGATTTGATTTTTGGAGGTAAAGTAGTTTGAAACTAGATTTCAGTGAATAAAGTAGTTGCTCCTGCTGGACAATATCATTTTTAGTTTTAAATGAGGCACAAGAAAGTAGATTCGTATGTTTGTTGGATGTATGATGGACTCTGAAGACAATTTCAAAAGAGGCATTCCAAAAATGTTCAGATCGGTGGTTGCATCATTGAAATTATGAGGAAGTCTCCCAAAGGAATAATACTGAAGAAGTACTCATTCGATTGTGTAGACTTTGATGTCACAATAGCCTTCCGCTTGCTTACTCCTATTCTGATGCCTTCTCTCCTTAAGTCTTTGAGCAAAGCTTCTAAACTTATTTTCTGTTCTTTCTAAAACTTTCAGTGACTCTCATTAGCTGCAAAATAAATTCTTTAACTTGGCCTTTAAAGCCATGCATTATTGGGCCTCAGCCTACATTTCCAAACTTATGCCTACTTTTCCCCCTCAGTGAAACCTGCACGTCAACCAAATGGAACCATTCATGAGTCTCCATTCAAGAGCTGTTCTTTCTCACAGTGTGGAATGTTCATCCAATCCATATCTTCATGTATAAGCCCCCCTTCCCCTTAAAGCCCCACTTTAAATGCTAGCCAGCTTGAATTCTCTCCTTTCTCTCACTTCTTATATTATTATGTCTGTACGTTTTATGGCCTTTATAATTTCTGCCTTGTTTTATGGCCTTTATATATAGGTCTTCTATGCCCTATTTGACTCTATGCCATTTTAACCCAGAAAACAAATCTCCTTGGGCCTTGACTCCTTCATGCCTCTCAGCGCAGTACTTTGCCTATAGTAGAGCCTTAATAAATAGTTATAGGGATTATGAGCACATGGGAACTCATATATAAACCTACAGTATCACATGATTTGGGCATTTAAGACTATGGACCCTATGATAGTGCCTCTTATATTCTTTAAGAGCATTTGGAATTTGGAAATTTTTATTAATATGAATATCTAATAATTGTGCATGTGATTCAGTAATTCAGTATTATGGAGTAAATTATTATAGAACCATGAATAATTGGGATACTCAGGAAATAGGATGTTCTGAATAATTTAATTTTCTGGTTAACTTGGAGTTAGGCAGAAAATCTTCTTTGTTTCATTTCTTGTTGAAAAATTCTTTCTAAATATGCTAATTTTCCATCTTAGGCAAAGAGCATCATTAAAATTTTCTTTGATAAATGAGGATATTAGAATGCCTTTGGGTAATTATTACATACCTTAATTTTCATTTTACATTACCATATATGTTAAAAAAAAGTTTTTGAGTTTGGATTATATCTCTAAGGTTCTTTTCTTTTCACTATATTTAGCCTTGGATGTTATTTTTGGATGGGAACAAATACCTGATATATATTTTTACAACCTTAACCATAGAAAGAACCAGAATGTGTGCTCTATTTGTCTTAATGAATGCATTCTTCACTTTCAGTTGAATATTTCCTCAGTCTTTTGCTATACAATTATTGGTAAAATTTTAGTTCCATCAGATATTTTATATTTATAACTTTATTTATATATAAGTACTTACGTAATTTATAATATATTTAGCATACATAATAATTTTTTGTTGTTTAGCCTTTGATTCAACCTGTTCCCTCATAATGATTTCTGTTTGTAAAATTTTCCTGAATGATAAGTAGTTTTGAATTTGTAACTTAATTGCTTTACTTCTGGCATAATTCCTTTGTCTTTATTACTTTTTCAGAAAATTCCAAAAATCGCAATAATATTTAGACAATATTAAGACAGCAATCATGAACACCAAAGATTTTGTAGTTCTTCCGTGGGGAAAACCTGGAAATTCCGTAAAGCTAAAATATAAGTAAGTGCATATATATTTATTACTTAAATAGAAATAATTGCTTAAGTTTCTGTATATTGTAATTTAAAGTACTTTTTTACATGAGGCTGTTTAGAGGTGAACTCAAATTTTGTGAATTCTTATCTCCATTTTCTTCACATTGCTGTATTTTTATCTATAAGAGAATAGGTTTGCAATATTATAAATCTATAATAGTTTAAAAAATGAGGACTAAAAATATTTATGCCACAAGAATTGAAGTGAAAAGTTATAAAGGAAGGCTGGACTCATTAGCTTTTGAAGCAATAGAACAGAAAGTTACAACACATTATAACACATTCAAAATTAAAAAAGAATCACCCTCTTTTAAACTGGAATTTAGGGAGTGTTTTAGGTAAGAGACACTAGGGAATAGAAAGCACTAACTACCTTAGCACTTTGCATAATTAATGGATTTTATGTTGAATTTACCTTTCTCAGGAAGGGTACCTTCTGTGATAGATTGCCTGGCAGATGCATTCAGCCAGAGCCAAGCAATTCTGGGTATCCTGGGAATTTCATGACATGGCAGGGGTACCGGAAGGTTCAATATACTGTTTCCCTTTGAGATCATCTAGAGTCACTAGAAATTCCCAAGGCTTTCTTCTCAAATATCACTAAGGGCCAGCCAGTGTGGGTTGGGGACAGACCGTTGATTTTTAATTTTAGTTTCTGAGTTCCCTGATCCAGATCAATTGTCCTGTGATTATTCACTGTCTTCAAAGCTTTCTTCATTTTCCCTTCACTTTTGAGATACTGTGTGTAAAAGCATTGTGTAAACTGGAAACTGTTGTAAAAATATATGGCATTATCATTATTAGGTTTACCATTTTTAGTGGGGAGGGGAGCTATCCAATTGCTAGTATTACCAATTTTCCTTATTTTATGCAACAAGAGAAGAGGACATGCATTATTTGATTTTGGTGATGTGTTTCAAGTCTGTGTGCATATACCTATAAACATTTATCCAACAAACATTTATTAAGTGCATATGTTCTAGGCACTGTGCTAGGGAATGGTGGATACAAAAGTAGGAAGTCATGATCTTTGCCCTCAGGTAGCTTGTAGAGGATGTGAATAAGTAAAATTACATTTACAATATGGTGTGACACATGGCGTGATGTGAAAGCTCGGGGGCTATGAGAACACAGTTCAGACTGCTGGGACAGGGGTAAGGAGCTCTCAGGCCTTGCCTGAAAGATGCAGTTAGTCAGCTACTTACTGGGTGGAGTTTGTGCGAAGGCACAGAGACCACATTGTTTTGGGACTTGCAGACGTATCCAATTGGCTAAGATTTATAGAGCAAAGTTAGAGAGAAGGGCAGGGTTGTATAGATAATAAATTAACTTGTATGCCACACTAGGGAGTTTGGAATTTATCTTGGAGATGAGGGGGAGTCACTATTCCCTGGCCTGTATGTCTCCCTGATCCACCCACGATCCACAACCCATAAAAACTAGGATGGGAACACCCACTCTATGGTAATTACCCTGGGCTTCCCTTTCTTGCGCTTTCCTTGTTCCAAGCCTATTTTCATTTGAGGTTGTCTTAACATCGTCTGACATTTTGTTGTTCTCCAACTCCTCTCTACCTGTTTCTCAGCCCCCAGCCCATTTCAATGGGTTGTTTCTGGCCCTTGGATTTGTGGGGTTAACATGGCCTCTGCGATATCAGCTTAAGTTTTCCTCAGTGGCCTTGCCGGCCCTTCTGGCACTCTATCCAAGGCTGTCTCCAGGAGGAATTCTTTGTCTTGTTCCAGACCCAAAGCATCCCACTTGACCACTTGGTCAGTAGGCCAATCCTTTTGTTCCGTCTCACCTCTTTCCTCTACCACAGTGAGGACTTCAGAAAGGTTAAAAGTTTTTTAAGCAAATTAGTGACACAGTCTCATTTGCACTTTGAACTCTTCCTCTGGAAGCCATGTGGGAAATGTTGTAGGCCATTGAGACTTTGGGCAGAGAGACTAGCTTGGGAGCTAATCCTGAACTGTGTCTCCAGCCCATTCCAGAGTGACCCAGTGCAGGATATGGCATCATTGTCCTCCTGATTGCTCAAGTAAGAAACCTGGGATTGTCTTAGATTTCCTCCATGTCTTCTCCCTGGTCAGTCATCTGCTTCTGGTCAGTCTCCAAGTCCAGTTAATTCTATTTTCTTATATTTCTCAAATTCTCCCGTTTTTCTCGCCATTGTCTCTACCCAATCAGACTAGAATAATCTGTCTGTCGTATTAGGATTACTGAAATAGTCTCCTAACTGGCTGTCTTGCTTCTACCCTTGCACCCTCTAATTAATTTTCCATTATACAACCATAGTGATCTTTCTGAAATGCAAGTCTGATCAATTCTCTTAAAACCCTTTAATCATTCTCATTGCCCTTAGAGTACAAATCCCAGTTCCTCAGGATGGCCTTCATGGCTCTTCATGATCTGGCCATTGGCCATCTCAGCAGTTCCGTTTCCTGCCACATTTCTCATCCTGCACTTAATACCTGTTCACGCAGAAGGAACTTCTAGTTCCTTGGTCCACATATCACTCTTGTCTCCTTGTGTCCACACTTTTTCTTTTTCCTGGAACACTGCTCTCACCACCTCTCTTTGACTGGCTAACTCCTTTCATCCCTTAGGGCTCAGCTCAGACTTCACTTTATCCAGGAACTGTTCCTACAGTCCCAGGGGTGGGGCCTGTGCCCTTTCTGTGTGCTCAGGCTCCTCTCTGTACTTGCCAATGAGAGCACCATCATACTGTATTTCAATTACTTTTCAATTACTTTCATGCTCGTCTGTGTTCCTCTCTACTGGAAGCTCCACCGGGTCTCATATCCTATCTCCTACTACAGTGATTGTTTGTAGTAGGGGCTGAATTAGTCCTTGTGGAGCAGATATAATGAAAATAATTCCTCTGCCTCAATATCTTTGCCAGCTCCTCTGAACCTTCTGGATAGACTTTGCCTCCTATCACTTTCTGTTTATCTCCCTGGATTGTGTCTGCTTAGGGAGGTATCTTTGGCCCACTTGCTCTTTGGTGAGGGCTCACCACCTCTATAAATGAGTTCCCTTTTCTAATGTTTATTATTCTTATTTTGGTTCCTTGCCATAGCATGCATGGGTGCCCATGCTACTTGATTATTGTAAAACGCGAAAGTAATAATGAAGGAAGAGATTTAAACTCATGACAGATAGTAAAAGCTAGAGAACTAGGTTGGCTTAGACCTTTCTCTTAGAAAGAGTCAGTGACTAATGCTGACAAGAGACCGGAATTGTAAAATGAAGAAACTGACTTGTGTCAAAAGCTTGATGAGCTTCAGTATTATTGTCAAAATCTCTTGCACAAGAATCTATAAGGCTCTGATCTGTCCTCACAAAGTTCTCTTCTTGCTTTCCTCCAGAGGAAACAATAGGTGGAGCATGGCTCGGGTCCCATTTAATCCTTTTGCTGGCTCCTATACCAAACACTTAGTAGGTGCTTTCTTCCTAACAGGCCCCAAACAGGCTCTGAATTTTCTTTTTATTATACATACATGATATAAAGGTAGAACTTCATTGAAGCTTTTTCAGATGATCAGTTCAGCAGAATGTGTATTCTGCCTATACAGAAAAAAATCGTTATTTTAAATACTATGCTTCAAACTAGTTGATTCCTTTAGAGGAAGGACAGTACGAAAATTAGAAAATAATTTTTCTGTTGTTTTCTATTTGTGTGTCATGGGTATTTGTGCATATATAAAGACATAGCTCATGTAGAAAGTGAATTATGATTTGGAACCTCTAGTAATGTAAGAGGAAATACAAGTGTCTGACATTTGAAGAGACACCTTACTTAAAGGAGAATGTTAGTGGAAGGTAAATGCTAACTTTAGAAACCATATTTCAAAGAAGTACAAAGGAAGTAGTTAAAATACTTCATCACTTATTTATTATTCATAATTTTAATTAAGGGCAAAAGATGATATAAAACTATTTCGCCTTGTTTTTTTACCCCAAATGAAAGTTCTGTATTTAAATCTTATTCAGAAATGCTCGAGAACTGAAGATGGAGAAAGTACAGTTAGAGTTGGAGAACCAAGAGATGGAAAAGAAACTACGGGAATTCCAATCAACAAGGAACAAAGAAAAAGAAGAAAGAGAGTGGGTGACATTTTTAGAGAATTTTAGAGAAACAAACTGAATTATGTAAAGAGCTATTTTAGATATTCTTTTCATTTCAGTAAAGATCTTTCCTGAATGAATAATTTCTGGCTTTTCCTGATGAACAGGCAATATTAAATTTTCCCTACTTTTTCTGCTTGTATCCCTTATCTACGGCATGTTGCTTTTAAAAATTCCCATTACTTTTGTTTCCTCTGAACGTTATTTGGTCTTACACTTTCTTATTTCTCTTCTTCCATTACTCTTCTGAACCATGTATAGTCTGGAATGTTTAGGACAGCAATGCAGAATTTGCCCTTTGTTTTCATAAAATTGCCATCAACAGGAGATTGCCAGTTTATGGTGAGGGTCATTTTTATTTATGAGAAGATTTTGGGGGGCAGAAGTTTACATGTACATGTATAAGAATCATTCAAACCCTCAAGTATGTTTGAAATATTTTTAGCAAATGCACTTTAGCTGAAAGTTTATTAATGAGAACTCTCTAATATTATGCTTGCATATCTGTACTAATGTTAGTGAGAATTTATTATAAAAATAAATAAATATGATAAAAGTCAAATAGAACTGATAATTATCTAATGGAAATTATCTCCTTAGCTGTAAATTGACTCCCAGCCCATTTTATAGCACCACTTTTAACAATTAAAATTTTTTTCCCCAAAAATGTCTTATCTTTGTACAGGCTTCTGTGTATATATATATATATATATATATGCCTATGAATGTGCGTGTACCTAATGTATCTTTCACGTTTTTACAAATGAGGTCATCTATAAAAATAAGTGAGTTGATTCACTCTCTACTTTTCTACTTACTATATCTTAGTGCTCTTGCCCCATTAGCTCACATTGATCTCATTCTTTTCATGGCTACATAGTATTTCTTTGTGTGGAATAATAGCATTTTTTTCAGACGTTTATTAAGTTTTCAGTATTTTGTGATTATATATGATGCATGAATTTGCTTCTACACATATTTTTGCTCACATATGCAAAAATATCTATGGGATAAATTCTTACCTGTGTAATTTTAGGTCCAAGTATATGTGCTGTTTACATTTTGGTAGATATTGGAGAAATTGTCTTCCAAATAGGCTTCAAAGGTGTATAACTTTCTCCTAAAGGGAATGGGATTGCATGTTTCATGTGCTTTTACTGGTACTAAATATTACCAGACTCTTTGTGTGTTAAATTTGCTTTTATTTAGTGCTCAAAGTGATGACCATCAAATATCTATGAAGTATCTTCTGAACCATTAAAGAAAATTCAAATGTTCATTATAGTTTCAGCAGAATTTATTTTAGAGTCTAACTCTTTGAAAACTATGCATGACACGTACACACACCCTCTCTAATAACCAGAGTGGTGGTTTAATCAAGGCATCTCAATGTTATGCATCATCCCAGGTCACAATGTTTATTGTGTATGTTGCTGCTCTTCTCTTAATGATCCAATGGCCAGTTCTTTTTTTTTTTTTTTTTAACCTTCATTGCTTTGGACTTAGTTGTACTTTTCAGTGGATCATGAATACATCTGGGAATCAGAGTTTTTGAAATCAGTCCCCAAGAGTGAGTTTTCCTTAACCGAGGAATTTATAGATGTTTTTTAAAAATGTTCTAAAGCTTGACTGAGTTTTCAGAATAGTTAAATGCTTCTCTAAGGTCACATAGATAGTAAATGTCATAGCCAGAACAAGAACCTGCCACTCACTGGTCAGGAAGATAGAAGTCCAGTGCTCTAATCTTGGCTTTATTATTTATTATCTGTGTGACCTTGGGCGAGTTTTTGTCTCGTTACTCTTTAAATTGGAATTGGAGTCACTGCCCTGTTGACTTCAAAAAATTTTGTGAGGTTCAAATAAAAATGCTTTGAAAACTGTAAAATTAAACAGTCTGCCTTCTTTGAAATCTCTGTTACCTGTCAATGTGGGAACTAATTTGAAGTCTTAATGAGGAATTTATCACTTAATAGATCTGCTGAATATTTTTGTGTATTGTTTTGTTTCCTTTTCCTCTTTACCTTTGTGGACCCTAAAACTGCATGACAATCTGTAAAATTTCCTATAAATCAGCAAAGCTATCTTTAGTCATTGTAAATGTCTAAAAAATGGAATTCTTGCTCTGTGTTTGAACATTTCACTTTTATTAATTTCTTCTCAAAAGTTCCAAAAATGGTAAAGCTATATTTTAGAATTACTGAGGATATTGTGGTATTATTGATATTTCATTTTCATTTTGTGGTGGTCTGTTACATGTTAACAACTGAATTTCCATTTCCTGAAACAGGGAAAACATATTTGTTTTCATTAAAAGGAGAAACATATTTAGTAATTACATTTTGTCTTCTGTTTATATATATTAAAGGTCAAGTGGATGTCACTGGAAATCTGGGCAAGTGGGCAAATTGGGTAATCAATCACACACGATGTCACAAATTAAAGGAAATGTTTTTAAGGTAAGAAAATACCATTTGATTCTCAGGCAATTTGCTAAGTAAGAAGATATAAATTATTTTTTCAGATTTTGCATTCCCTTTCATACTTAAGAAACTACTATTCTTTTTTTAACAATTTTGCGTATTATCAGATCTTGATTAATTTTTTATGGGTTAATGTGCAGCTTTCATTATTCAGGTATGGTTTTGTTTCTCATCTGCAAGTTGATTTTTAAAAACTCACCTAGAGTTGAATTTTCTACACTGAATTTTTCCATTCGATTCAGTTCTGGTTTTAAGTATGTGAAACAGAATTATGTAGATCTATATTAAGGTTAAAGCTGTTAATTGATATAACAAATGACAGACTTTTTTCTGTCGTTTTATTATATCACATTTGTTTAATGTGTTTCTATTATGCTTGAATAATAATTACTGTTCACATACTGTTGATTCCATGCGTGAAGATACCCAAGGAAAAAATGCTTTCAGATTTCTCAGCTATAGAATTTTTTTATCTTTACTGTGTATTGTAAAATATAACAATACATTATATTTAAGATTAAAACCAGATGAGTGTCTTTATGTAAAGAAAATGGTTTTGCTTCTGGATTCTTTAGTACGAGATCCGTGACTTTGTAAGTTTTAACTTATATAGCTTTTTATTTTTTATATACCTATCATTAAATTTTCATTGGGCCAGTTGGCATCTACAAACATCTTACTTGGCACTTCTAACCTTTTTGGCTCCAAAAAAGCATTTTATTCTTTAGTGTCATTCTCTTACTGAGATATGTTTCTTTAATTTTTGAATTAAAAGTTTTATAATCCACTCTCCATTTTTCATGCTAAGATAGTATTCCATATTTCAGATGTTATTGTAAATATGATATGTTAACAATGCTGACTCTTTGTGATTATTGACTTATTTATTCAATAGCATTTATTAACTGCCTTCTTTGTCATATAGTGAGTTATCTCTGTTCAAGGAGATTCTCATCTAATGTGAAAGATGCACATATCAAAATATTTATAGGAAAAGTCAGTATGGGGGCCGGCCCCGTGGCTTAGCGGTTGGGTGCACGTGCTCTGCTGCTGGCGGCCCGGGTTCGGATCCCGGGCGTGCACCGACGCACCGCTTCTCTGGCCATGCTGGGGCTGCGTCCTGCATGCAGCAACTAGAAGGATGTGCAACTATGACATACAACTATCTACTGGGGCTTTGGGGGAAAAAATAAATAAATAAAAATTATAAAAAAAAAAAAAAGTCAGTATGGAATTTTTGCCATAACCATTTAGTGTATGAACCATTTGTACTTGGGAAATAATAGTTTAGTTCTACAAATATTTGACAGTCTACTAGATGTAATTTTAAGGAAAAAGTGGAATGAATCATAATGCCTGTCCCCACAAACCTCATAATTGAGTAGGAGGGTGAAGGCATGGGTTTGGGGTGCTGGAGCAGGTGGGTGTAGAAAGTAAGATTGGGCAGGAGGGTAGAAGGCCTTGAACACCAGACGTGGAGTCTGCACTTTTTCATTGGGTAAAGGGAATCCCTGACAGCTTTTGAGCAGGAGAGTAGTGGGATTAAGGTAATGATTTATGATGGCTGGTCTTCTTCAAATTCCCAGAGCATTTGGAGTTTATAAGTAAAGTTTAGAGCACATGATATCCAAACTCTTTTGATCATGCACCACGTCAATTAAGAATATGTTTTAGGGGCCGGCCCCGTGGCTTAGCGGTTAAGTGCGCGAGCTCTGCTACTGGCGGCCGGGGTTCGGATCCCGGGCACGCACTGGCGCACAGCTTCTCCAGCCGTGCTGAGGCCGTGTCCCACATACAGCAACTAGAAGGATGTGCAACTGTGACATACAACTATCTACTGGGGCTTTGGGGGAGAAAAAAAAAAGCAGGAGGATTGGCAAGAGATGTTAGCTCAGAGCCAGTCTTCCTCAGCAAAAAAAGATGAGGATTATCATGGATGTTAACTCAGGGCTGATCTTCCTCACAAAAAAAAAAAAAAAGAATATATTTTAGGCTATCATGAACTTTTTATTTTAGACAGAATTTATTTATATACATATGAGTTTACTAATATATCATGTGCATTGTAAAACAAAATATGGGAATTAATCAAGGATGATATAAATATAAATAGATGTTCTTTTCTATTCTTGAGTCTTTTCCTGAGTTCCCTCAGGCATGCATACTTGTACTTTGGAGGCCACTGGTCTGGAGGCAAAGAGGCTATCTAGAACACTACTGAAACAATCTAGAGGTCAGATGAGAAGAATCTGAATGAGAATGTAGCAGAGGAAATATAAAGGAAATATGGAACCAAAAAACAGTGAGAAAGGAAAGTCAAATATGTAACTGATATTCAGGCTGGATTGCCTAGGGGACAGAGTAAAGAAGGGAGTTGGAAAAAAAGTTCTAGTGTTTAAAGCTAGCTAGCTTCCTTGCTTCCTATCTTCCTCCCTCCTTCCCTCTCTCTATCTCTTCCTCTTTCCTTTCCCAGCTTTATTTAGGTATAACTGATAAATAAAATTGTAAGATATTTAAAGAGTACATAATGATTTGATATACATATACATTGTGAAAGGATTCCCCCCATTGAGTTAATCAACACATCCACCACCTCACATATTTACTTTTTTTATTTACTTTTTTTTTGTGGGAAATTTAAGTTATAGTCTTTTAGCAAATTTCAAAGATATAGAGTTTTGTTTGAATTCTCATGTGTTAGTTGAACCTGAGAGAGTAAATGTGCTCCCTAAGAATTTATAAAAAGGAGAAGAAAGGTGTCAAGCATAAAGCTCAGGAAGGGCAGATGTGAAGAATAAGGTTCAAGGAATATGGAGGCAAAGAGAACTTTAATATTAGCACTGTCTGTTTGATACCAGTCAACAGTTTAGCTGCTTTTCCTGTTTTATCTCCTTAAGTGCTTATATCACTCTTAAGAGGCAGTTGTTATTTTTCCATTTCCACAGATGAAGTAATTTAACATCAAAGTAGTTTAATAACTTGCTCAAGGTCAAGCATCAGGGCCAAGATTTGGAATGCAGGCGTTCAAGCTGGTTCTAAGGTAATTTGCCAGCTCTCCAGTAAAGGGGGCCTGAGAAGAGAAAAGATGGTAGGAGTATAATCAAAGTAATGTAATTTCATAGAAGACGAAAGTAAAGGAGGGTGTTTTTAGAAGAGACAGAGAAGTCAAGTTTGCCTGATACATCATGTAATGAAAAAGTTTGAGTGCACTTTTAGACCAGTGTTTCTCAACAAGGGGCAATTTTGCCTCCCAGGAGACGATTGGTAATGTCTGGAGACGTTTTTAGTTACTACCACTGAGAGGGGTTTTTTTTGCCATTGGTATGTAGTGGCTATAGGCCTGAGATGTTGCTATACATCTTACAATGCATTGGACAGCCCCCACAACAATGAATTATTTGGCCTAAAATGTCAACGGTACCAAGGTCGAGAAACCCTGTGTTAGGGCCTGGCCCTGTGGCTGAATGGTTAACGTTCAGCCTGTTCCTCTTCAGTGGCCCAGGTTCACGGGTTCAGATCCCTGGTGCAGGCCTACTCCACTCACCAGCCATACTGTGATGGTGTCCCACGTCCAAAGTGGAGGAAGATGGGCACAGGTGTTAGCTCAGGGCTAATCTTCCTCAAGTGAAAAAAAAAAGGAGGAGGATTGGCAACAGATGTTAGCTCAGGGCAAATCTTCCTCAGCAAAAACCCCCAAACCCTGTGTTACACTGTACAGATAAAATCTCGGCTCACTTCATTAGCTCCGTGATTTTAGGCAAGTCACTTACCCTTGCCGAGCTTTTGTTACCATGTTTGTAAACATGCATAATAATACTTGCTAACCACTTCAGAGTTTTGAGCAATGTGTGAGATAATATGTGTGAAACCAGTTGTAACATTAACTGAAAAGCACGTTAAAATGTCTATTTATGGAGAATGAGAAGTTATATAAACACTGAATTTGATTTGATGATTGGATCGTTATTAGATATAAAAATATATTTCAAGTGATTGGAAAAGAAAGGCTGGTGGCAATGAGTAAAGACTAATGTTGCAGTGAACGTGAGAACAGAGGGTGACCTCTCAAGGGTTTAACAGGATCAAGGAAAGACTTTATTATGTTGTTTTTTAGAATCAGGGAGAAGATGTGAGCCAGATTGTGGCTGAGTGATGGACTCGCTAGTGGAGGAAAGATTGAAAATGCAAATGAGAGAGGTGCCAGTTGCTGGGGGTATAGTCTTTGAAGAGGTGGCTCATTAAGGAGGCCTTGACCAAAGGAAGGAGGGCTCATTTTCTCTGCGACAAGAAAGATGGCAGAGAAAACAGGTAGCAGTAAAGGTAAATTTTTAGAGGTTGCATTTGACAGGGGATGAGGCAGGAAGCTGTGGAGAATTCTTAAGGGGAGACCTCAACATTCTTGGTAAATTTGAAAGCAAGATCAGCTGTTCAGATTAAGGAATGGAAATGGGGTGAATTTGAGTTTTTTGGAATGGAGAAGGTTTGGAGTAGCCACTGTAAGAATCGTGATTGAGGTTTAGCAGCAAATGAATAAATGGATGTCTGAAGAGCCCTAAGAGCCCACTGAGGTTATTCAGCATGGATTTGTAGGGCACCCAGTCAGTATTATTTCATCACAATGGTAGGTAGATAGGGGAGGTCTAAGAGGAAGGAGGTAAGTGATTGTGGTTAGCACCGAGAAACTCTGAATTTGGGATTTTGAAGGTGTGGCCATTCAGATTGCTGCTTAGGCTGAAGGTTTGGTCATAATGGTCAGGTGGCTGAAGAGGCACCTAGGTGTTCATAGTAATCAGCATGTTGGAGGGTTTTCAGCATCAGGATGTCGGGTGAACATGGTCGTTGACATCTCCACGATCATCACCCAGAAATGTTATGAGAGAAATACTGAGCAGATTGCTGAAGTTCGGGTGGAAGAGGATCCTGGGTATTGATAAAGGCAATAAGTGGATGGTGAGGACTTTCAGTAGAAGCAACTTTGCTGAATGATGAGAGCAGGACAATATTCTGGAAGCAGCACTGAGGAGCAAACGGAGAAAAAATCCCTTCTTTCCTGGTGAGTTAAGAAGCGTAGAAATAGAGCTAGTTTCCCTGGAGAGTTCTGTGGAGAAGGTTTTGTCTGAGGAAATGTGGGTCCAGTTAATGTGAACTTTTGGAAGAGATATTGTTAGGAAAGGTTTAAGGCATAAGATAGATGACTATTTAAATAAGGGCTCCATGGAATCACAGGGGAGCCTGGATTGTAGGACAAGTAGTAGAGAATGGCAAAGTTTAATAGCTAATTAGATTAAGAACGAGAATATTTGAAAAGGTGGCTTGTGGGAGGAGTGTAGGCTCAGCATGGCAGATTAGGGCATTGGTGGGAGTTTCGAGGCATTTGTGAATGTCAGAGAGGCTGATGATGACAGCGTAGTCTGACCCCAGTGGTCCAGATGACATGTGTGTGGTAGAGCCACTGTGCTGCCCTGGCCCCTGATGGCACCTCTTCAACATCTACTGGTGGAGGTGTAAGTGGGTTAATAAGGCATAGGCTTCAGTGTATTGAATTCCTGATGTTTTGGATATGCATACATATGCATATCCATCATATATATGCATATGGTTGTGTGTGTGTGTGTGGGTGGGTGTAGGTGTGTGTTGTGTGTGTGTATCCCTTGTCCAATCCTACTCCACCCTCAACTCTTCCCCAGATAAAAATCAGACTTAGGAGGAAATTCTATTTGCCTAAAAATAGCAGATAGCAGCGTGTTCATTGAAATATTTTCATGCAGTTCGAGTCATCTGAAGTAAATATGGCTATATTTATAGAGCAGAAAATATTATTCACAATAATAGAAACAAATTATAAAATTTCCCTAATAATGGGTTCTTTGGCGTATAATGGGTTGCTTTGGCGTATCCATTATGCCCAGGTAGCTATAACCACACTGATCATGTTGCAATTCAGATGTATCATTAAGGTAATGATATTGTTTAATTTGGTTGAGAAAAATGAGATTAAATTATCTGTAACTTGTATAACATTGCCAGTTTAAAAATAAAAGTGTGATTCACATAAAAATTGATTATTTCAATCCTATTTTCTTTTCTGCTGTGTTTGGTACATAGCATCTGAGCAGCTACATAAAGAATGTGAACAACAAATGCCTTTTTGAAGCAAAACCACTAGATTCACTGAGAATAATTAGGCCTAAATTTTCAAAAATGACTGCAGTTGATGCAGCCATAGACATAGAGGCAACCATTGTTCTCATACTCTCATGTACAAATTGGGCAATTGAGCATGCAAATTGCAAATTGAAAACCAGGCATGAATTGACAGTGTCTGTATAAATGGGCACCATCCTCCGTGCTTGTTTGTGTACTTTGAATGTTGATTTTAATAAGACCAAGGCAAGTATGTGCAATTGATGAGTCTGTTTTATTTCTTAAAAATCTTAAGATCCAAGGATTTTAAGTGATTATTTATTTGAAATATCTAGCAGTGAATCTTACTTACTCATTTTTTTTTGCTACAATTTGGGAAAGTCAGGGATCACAAATAATATATTTGAAGGCTATGATGCTTAAACATGTAGTTCTCTAAATTAGGCAAATAAAATAATAATATTGGCTTCCACAGTTGTATAAGCAGAGTAGTACAGTCAGAATCCAGTTAGATCCAGTCTACACAAACATTAGACTGTGTGTGTTTTAGAAAGACCTGAGATAGAAATGGCTTACTGAGCCTTTACAATATTTGAATACTAGTGCTTTCCTAAAATTATTTCATGATGATATATAATGACTTTTGTTCAAAAAATAATTTATGGTATATTTTAAAAGACTGGTTTATATGTATTTCCAAACATTTTCTTTTGATGAATTTTCTCTTAATTTAATTAAAAGGTCTATATATGCTTTAATGATGATCTCCTATTAATTTTATATTATTCTTTCAAGAAGTGTTTGTTTTGTTCAAGATGCACCAGAATGTTATGGGCTTTTAACATTTTTGTTAGTAATTTAAACTTTCTTTGAATAAGAGAATGTATACCTGACAAATAATATCTATTTCATTAATACAGCTTTCTGCTGGAAAAGTGAAATTAAAATTACTGAAGGAGCAGCTTCAAGGTAAACAGTTTACTGTGTATTATTAGATGCTAAAGATACAATTTTTCTTTTATATAAGAAATTAAAGTGCTAGAATTTTCGTGCAGTATAAAGATTCTAAACCCCCAAATGATGGCTCTTTATATTTGATATTCAAAATATATTTTGTTTATTTTTTGGGGGGGTGGGGGCCTTATTTTATGTCAAAAAATGTCAACTTAGAGTATAATTGTAATAATAGGGATTTTCCGAAGTGAGGACTTTCATAGCACTGTTTGTTAAAGTTTATCATATGATTTTTTAACCAGGAAGGGAATTTATCAGTATAAATTTATAAATTGAAATTTCACTCTAGGAAATTAAAAGAATATCAAAAAATTACTTTATATTTTAATAAGTGTTTTGACAATAGGAAAAACCAAAAATCAATTTTGAATTTATAATAATTATGATTTTTTATAGGGGATAAACATGTTTAATTTGAATGGTTAAGATCATTTGGTAGAACAAGTTCTAGAAATATATGTAACATTTGTTCTGTGTGGGCTTCAGTTTGATCCAGAATGTCCTGTGGGTGCATGTGTGTGGCCCTGTGGTCACAGGGGGCAGGGGGGACCTTGGCTCCCCAGTCTACTGGGAAGATTAGACTTGGCTACATGCCTTCTTATTGGGCAACTAATATTTAAATGTTGTTTGAGAATTTCAAAATGTGCATAATTTCATTACTATCAGTGAGAAAACTGAACATTGTATTTTAATGTGATTGGTTTGAGTTTTTTTTCTTCCAGGGCCAGTGAAACAATCACTTAATTGTAAAATGACAAATTCTCCTGAAAGTGAGAAACCCAAGATAAAAGGGAAGGTTTGCGGACAGTGTGAGAACAAAGCTGCTCTGCTAGTACGTATGCTGTTGTCAGATACTGGAATGGAACTTGCACACGGTCTCACGCTCCTCCCCCAACCTAACCTGCTTTGGTAGCCGTATACTTTTCCTCCAGTGCGGTTAGGATGGGTGAAGTGTGCGTGCTGCCTGGTGAGGCCAACACACGCGCGATGCCCTGAAGCTCAGCCTCTCAGTCCTGTTTAAGGATGTGCCCTGACTCTTGTCCTCTCTCCCTCGGATCGCGCCTATCAGCGCCCAAGCCTGCTGCAGTATTTCCCAAACCAAAACTACAACAAAAATCCTTCTTTGACCCCCACATCTTCCTCTGTACCCCTTTTAGGAAAATTTCTAGAGTTCTCTACAGTTGCTGTCATCATATTCTCTCCTCCCATTCTCTCTTTTTTTTTATTGAGGTATAATTTATGTACTGTGAAATGGACAGGTTTTTGTTTTTTGGTGAGGAAGATTAGCCCTGAGCCAACATCTGTTGCCAATCCTCTTTTTGCTGAGGAAGATTGGCCCTGGGCTAATATCTGTGCCCATCTTCCTCTACTTTATATGTGGGACACCTGCCACAGCATGGCTTGATAAGTGGTGGGTAGGTCCACGCTGGGGATCCAAACCTGCGAACCTTGGGCCACTGAAGTGGAGCTAGCACACTTAACCACTACACCACCGGGCCAGCCCCTGGACAGATCTTAAATTAGATGCTTTTTGACAAATGTGTACAGCCACATCAACACGGCACAGTTCCCTTGTGCCTTTTCCAATTAATCCCCACTACAAAGCCCACACTGCTCTGATTTTTAGCACCATACGTTTCGTGGTGCCTATCCTTGAACTTAGTGTAAATGAAATGGTATGGCATATATTTTTCTGTGTAAGGCTTCTTTTGCTCCACATGAAGATTCATCCATGTCATTATATTTATCAGCAGTTTGTTCCTTTGTATTACTGAGTTGTATTCCATTGTATCAATATACCAGCATTTGTTTATTCATTGACATGTTGAATGACATTTGGGTTGTTTCAGGTTTTTTTATTGTTATGTTTGAGGCTGCTATGGAATTTATGAGCAAGTCTTTTTCTTTCCCCCTTAAACGATTTTTCTTTCCTTAAAAGTTTTGAAGTAAAGTTGAAAAAAAGTACAAAAAATAATGCTTTCTGACATCTCTCTAACTTTTCATTGGTGCTAATTTCATGAACTTTCTAAAAAATTATGGTAAAATACACCATAATTTAAAAGTTACCATCTTAGCCATTTTAAGAGTAGAGTCCAGTGGCATTAAGTACATTCCATCGTTGTGCTACCATCATCACCATCCATCCACAAAACTCTTTTCACCTTGCAGAAATGAAACTCTGTGTTCATTAAATAATAACTCCCATTCTCTCCTCCTTTTGGTTCCTGGCAACCACTATTCTATTTTCTGTCTCTATGAATTTGACTCTTCTAGGTGCGTCATATAAGTGGAACCATACACTGTTTCTCCTTCTGTCATTGGCTTATTTCACCTATCATAATGTCTTCAGTGTTCATACATGTTGTAGCATGTGTCAGAATTTCCTTCCTTTTTAAGGCTGAATAATATTAAATTGTATGTATATTCCACATTTTGTTTATCCATTCATCTACTGATGGATGCTTGGGTTGCTTTCACCTTTTGGCTGAATAATGCTGCTATGGACATGAGTGTACAAATAACTGTCCAAGTTCCTACTTTCAGTTCTTTTGAGTATATACTCAGAAGCAGAATAGCTAAGTTCTCATTCTCTCTTGAACCCTCTCCATTGAGTATTAGGTCTCCACTACTGTCTTGCAACAGTTCCTATCAAGGTCACTAGTGACTTCCACATTCTTAAACACAGTGGCCAACTTTCAGTAATTATCCTAATCTATCAGTAATATTTGATACAGTATCCCTCTCCTCTGTGATGACTCTTTGCTTGGCTTCCTCCGGGTCACCATTCTTTGCTAGCTGTCTCTTTTCAGTCTTTTTTGTTGGTTTTCTGTATTCTTGACTCCCTAACATTGGAGTGCCACAGGCTCGGTCCTTAGGCCTCTTCTCTAGTCTGTCTATGCTTACTCTTTATGTAATTTCATCCACTCTTTTGGCATTAAAGACCATCTCTACATTTATGGTTCCCAAATTTGCATCTCTAACTCATACCTCTCCCCTGAACTTTCAACTCAAACTGCCTCATCAACACCTCTACTTGGGTGTCTGACAGGAGTCACTAACTTAACAGGGTTCAATTCTGAGAACCCTTAATGTCTCTGAACAAATTTTCTCCTCCCACAGTCTCCTATTCATATCAATAAAGGTCAGCTCAAATGTTACCTACCCCGACAGCCCTCTATAAAATAGCAACAGCTGAGTTGCACTCTCTAGTTTTGTGAAGCTGCTTCATTCATTTACATAGCATTTATTGTCCTTTAACATATTTGTTTGTTTATTTTCCATCCACCTACAATATCAACTTCACAAGTGTAAGGATTTAGTTTTGTTCACTGCTGTGTGCCCACCACCTAGAATTATGCCTGCAATTCAGTAGGCACTCAAAAATATTAGTTGAATGAATCATTTCTTTAAAACTTTTCTGTTAATATAGACTTTAGATATATCTTCCTTTCACTTAGTATTGAAGATACTCCAATATCTTTTGCAATCTAAAATATTACACAGTTAGGAAGCAGTTTTCCCCTAAAGAATTTAGTTATTATAACTAATATTTGAAGATTACTATAACTAAAATTTGTTATAGTTTCAGAGAATTTAGTTATAATCACTTCTGATTTAAAACTATGTTACTAGTCTTATTTCATGGCAGTTTTAACTGGGCTCAGAGAGTTAGGATGCTGTAAGTCTAATAAAGAGCTAATAATATTAAATGTAAAACCCCAGCCCTGGGTGTAATGCCAGCACCATTACATCATAGTGTTTTCTTATATTATTTGATATAATGGTAGAAAATAATTTAAAGAATCTTAGCAAATTGTATCTATCCATAAATGTTTAAAAAATATTTTAAAAATGCTAATATTCTTGAAGTTGGAAGTATGAAAACTGAAGGGACTTACTGGCTGAATGGAATTGCTGGGGTCCCCTGTCCACGAATATGTAGGAGCTGTGAGTCAATATTTCTTGTGAATCCTATTCTATGTTGACCACTGTTTAAAGGCCAAGGAATTTGAACAATATGGCATATGGAGATAAGACTTGACCTGGAAATAAAGGATCTGTTTTTCCAGAGAGAAAGAAAAGCAAGACAAGGACAGCCCAGACAGGACAAATGGCATGTGCCTTGCCTGGAAAGCAGATGAGTGATGATGTGTGCAATAATTATAAAACTGATTTGCCTGAAAACTGTCATATATAGAAGCCACAATTTAGGCCCTACACATTCTTGAAGAATTTTGCCCAGTTTTTAAGAAAGAATGTTCTTTGATTTGAAATGAAAATAGTATCCCATGATACTTGTCAAAGTACAACAGTAAGTTATTTAAAAATTCAGGCTCGGCCGATCTAATGAAGTAGACTGTGGTAGTGTTAAACTCTGAGCTTGTCTTGTGCTCTTAGCTTCCATCATCCTAGATGGTAATGCTGACTGGATAATTAGAGCCAAGCTTTCTATATCTTATGACAGTACCTTCATCAGGGAAAACTGTATGAGAGGTAGGGGTTAAGAGCTTATGTTTTGGGGGTTTGAATCTCAACTTTACCTGTTATTAGCTATGCGACTTTTAGCAAATGACTTAATTCCTTTATATTTCTGTTTTCTCATTTGTAAAATGGGATAATACAGATAATGATAGTCTATACCTCTCACTTATTAAGGAGAATGGTTAATGTGTGTGAAGTATTTAGTGTTGTGCCCGGCACATTGAGAGGAGACAATAGATTGTATGTATTTTATTGTTGGAACATTTTCTTATGTCCTGATGCATTCACATATATTGATAATATTGATGGTAAAAATAAAACCCCAAACTTCCAGATTTCTTATTTTTTAACGGAATTCTAGTAGCTTTACGCTGTTTCTACATGGCAAAAGTGAAATGGATAAAAGTTAAAAATCATACGTTAGATTGACAAATGTGGATAATTTAATTAAACTCAGATGGATTCAGGAGGCTTAGCACAACTGATCTAGCCTTGATCAAATTAAGAATGTATTTGCTAAAACTGCACTTGGGTATTCCATCATTGAAGAAGCATCTGTGATGATGGAATGGAGTCTTTATCTACATTTTTAGTATGTTCCTGCCAGTTATACAGACTGCCTAAGAAGATTTTCCAGTTGGTGGTCATTTTAACCCAATTTAAATCCAAATATGCTTGTCTAACAAAATACATAAGCTTCCTCTGCAGCTCCAGCTTTGATCTTCCAGTCTACCACATCCATTTGGCTACTTTCATTAAAAGTCTGTTGTTAACAAATGCTTGGCTTAGAATTATATTCTGAAACTGATTTTCAGTCCTCTATATTACATTGTAAAAACAGTGCCAAATACTTATGAGAAATTCATTAAAATGTTACCAGATATGTAAAATAAAAATTATGCAGAATGCATTTTGAAATATACATTAATACAATAATACTACCATATATGTATGTGATATTATAGCTTTTTAATTGATTTCACGCTTGAAAAACTATGGATTTGGATGTTTTCATCATCATTTCTCTAAGAGACTGTAGCTCTTGAAACAAGAGTTGGTAGGTAGGACTAGTTCCCATACTAGGGATAGTGCTTATTTTTTTTCTACTTAAATAAAAAATCCAGTGCTTTTCAGTTAATCACATTTGAAATTACAAAATTGGATTTTGACAAATACTAGACCATGCAGTCATTTGAAATATTGGATGTTTAAATGGCAGATTTTATCAAGGTTTTTCAATAAATGATTAGAACTGCAGTTAATGGTCAGTGATTGATTTAATGATTAGTAATGTGGGCTGTGGGTAAGAGCTTGAGCTTTGAGCCAGACTATGGGGATGAGATCCCGGCTCTGTTAGCTGTATGACTAGACAAGTTTCCAATTGTTATGTTCTCTTGTTACCTTGTTTTCACAATGGAGAGGTAATGATCATTCTAACGCTATGGGATTGTTGTGAGGATTAAATGAGATGGAACGTACAAAGCCCTTAGAACAGTGAGTAAGTGCTCACCACATCTTGTGAACGTTGTTGTTATTATTTGACTCTAGCCTTCCTTTTTAGTTTCATTTTAGTTATATAAAATTTCTCTCTTTTAACCATTTTTTAGTGTTATTTTAATCATCTTATATTTAATAAACCTGGCTACATTATTGTAGGTAACTCTGTCATCATATGGGGACTTGTAATACAATTTTTAAAAATTAATGGACTTAAAAATCTCCTGTTGAGTTTTTAAGAAGAGTTTAGTTTACTTCTCTACGTCTTATACATCCTAGTGCCTTGTTACTCAATATGTGGTCTGCACACCAGCAACTGCATGGGCATCACCTGGGAGCTTGTTAGATGCGGGATCTCAGGTGGCATTCCAGACTTCCTGAACCAGAGTCTGCGTTGTAACAAAAGCCCAGGTGGTTCGTATGCGTGGTACAGTTTGAGAAGCATCACTGTATTGCACGTTTCAGTCCACCATTGACCAGTACAAGCAGAAGAGCTTGGTCGACCCTTCCCCAGTCTGCCCCAGCTACTTTATGCTTACTGTTCCCTGATATGAGGAGAAAGGAAGGAGGGGGAGAATGGTGGTGTGCACCCTAAGGGGAGAGGAAATGGAAGAGGGTCAAGGGAATGTGAGCTCCTTGACACAGACTTTTTGACAGCATCTCTCCAAGCCCTCATGCTTTCTTATTTGTGCTACTGGTCATTCTCAACCTAGGCCAAACTTAAGAAAATGAGGGATCTTAGCCAAATTTCCACTGCTTTTTGTCACATTGTAAAGAGGATTGAAGTGGCTGTAAAACTGCATGGTAGTAATTTCACTTGCAGTAAACATTCTGTTTTTTTCTTTACTTTCAGTGTTACTTGGTACCATCATAGATACAGGTATATGACATTACTCAATTTGTCCCTAAATTAAAAAAAAAAATTATATTTTAATACCATAGAGAATTTGGAAGATAAATAGAAACTTTTCCAGGGCCGGCCTGGTGGCGTAGCTAAATTCTCACTCTCTGCTTCGGCTCTCCTGGGTTCACGGGTTCAGATCTCGGGCGTGGACGGATGCACCACTTGTCAAGCCATGCTGTGGCTGTGTCCTGTATAAAGTAGAGGAAGATGGGCATGGATGTTAGCCCAGGTCCAATCTTCCTCAGCAAAAAGAGGAGGATTGGCAACAGATGTTAGCTCAGGGCTAATTTTCCTCACAAAAAATAAAAAACATAATGAACTTTTCCATAATCATTTCACCAGTCATAAACATTGCTGGCATTTTGATGGAATTCCATCAAGTTTTTTTTTTCTTATACTTCCTTTCCTTTGAGGAATCTTCTAAGAACACTTTTAAAACCATATTTTGAGAATCCTCCGTGAAGGAAGGCCATTCAAGGAAGTATATGGAGACTTTTAGAGACAAATAGTATACATAGAATTTGAATAATTGTGCCATGTAGCTCTGTATAGAAAGATAAAAGAATTCATAAAAATGTAGTTTTGACCCAGACATACTGCTGTTTAGTTTTTACTAGGTCAAGAAGTTTGACCTGAGGCTGCTGATTCTTTTATGTTTTATTCAGAAATTATACACACATACATGCATCTGATAGTTATGTCTAAAATCTACATTGTAGCTATTATATTTATTTTGATATGGGAGTAATTAGAGTTTACAAGTTAGTTTTTCTCAGAGTTAAATCTTGACTGGGGTAAGTTTCCTTGGGCTTCTCAATTCTGGTGACATATAGCTATGTAATTGGAGAAATAAAGATGAGAGCAATGACATCTTTACGCAAATATGTTCTCAAAGTTATATTATAAGATTTTACGATTTTTTAAAATATCTTTTAAGGTATGCCTTGAATGTGGAGAAGATTATTGTTCAGGATGCTTTGCTAAAATTCACAAGAAGGGGGCACTGAAGTTCCACAGAACAACTCTTTTGCAGGTAATGACTTTTTAAAATGCTTTACTTGTAGTGTATTTATAAAATGTTTCAACTCAAAGACATTTAAAACATGTTTAATTATCTAGAATTTAGGATGATTTACATTAATTTCTAAAATTCTATGTACAGTCTTTACATATATCTTAAAATTATTTTACTGAACACTAACTTGGATTGGAATTTGCTATTTAAACTGTGTTTTAATATAGTTCCTGAAACACTTAGCTTGATTAGAGTTTTCAGATTATGCGTTCTATCTGTGAACTTGACATTTAAAAATTAGACAATATTTTTATCTATTGTTGTTTCAAATGAGCACATGGCTTATTTTAAGTATTATTTCTGTCAAGTTTACAAATAGAAATCTCTTATGTTTTCTTTTCATGTTTATTTTTAAAAATTAGTCTTTTATTTGTCCTCACCTATCATTACTTAAATAAGCTTTTCTCTCAGGTTTCTACTTTTCCTCCTACATATCAGAAGCTTTTATTTATCCTCATATAGTCATTGTTTTCTGAAATACCTAAACTCAAACCTGTCAGATGGTTTTAAAATTCTAATACTTAAGCAATAAATATGGCTAAATATAGATATGATGTTATACCAGTTACATTTAATAATGCATTGATTTGTCATAGATTTCATTCACTGTACAGTAATTTTTTGAACAAATATTTATTGAGTGCTTTTTAGGAAGCAGGGTCTGTGTTAGGCAGTGACCTTACACAGGTGAATGACACTACGGTCCTGCTCTTAAGGACCTGGGGGTAAAAGTGAGAACAAGGACCTGGTGTAATGGGTTAAGGGTTTTCATATTATCTTGTGGGCAAAGGGAGGGAGATGATCAGATCTGTATTTAGAAAGATCACTAGTAGATTTTAATCTTTACATGTTACTTCAATATAAATATTGGTAACTCTCAAGGATGCTGATGACCCAAGTCACGATAACTACAAAACATAAAATGGACCTTGCTCATATCAATGTTTACCGGTCAGTTACTTTCGAGTGGCTACTCAATATTTAGAGCCTCTGGGCAGAAATGATGGAGGGAAAACAAAAAACCACCACCTACTGTACCCCTCCCTCAGGATCGCATAACCAGATAGTCATAAGAAATGAAAATTAATGTATATACAAGTGAGTGTACTTGTTAATATTGAAGTAATATAGAATTTAACCAAAAGCACTCCATTTTCAGAGTAAAAAGTGTCGTTACCCCACCGTGAGTTCATATTAGGAATTTTCCATTCCATGATTTGTTCAGCACATTTTCTGATTATCACTCAGTGAATTTAGATGCTGTGTTAGTTGGGGTAGAAGATACAAAGGAGTATGAGACATGGCTCCTTCCCTCAACCTCAATATTTGACCTTCGAGATTTATCCAAGTCTGATTCTCTTCTCTCTCTCCTTCCCTTCCCCTGTCCTCCGTCTCTGTCCCTTTCTTTCTCCCTCCCGCCCCCATCTCTTTTTACACACACACACACACACACACACACAATCCATTTCAAAAGACCGTCAAACTTTGCTGTGATATAGCTTGTTGTTTTCCAGAGGCAGATACGATATGGGTCAAATCATGCTTACTAAAAACAACATGACATAGACTATGTTTTCTAAACATTGTGCATTTTTCTATTCCGTATTAATGTCATTAGAATAGTTGTATTCTATATTTTAACTTAGAAGAACATGATATTTGTAGATTAGATCCATATGAAATTCTAAATGTAGAATTGATAAAGAAGTGAGAGAACTAATATTTACTGAGTATATACTTCATGGCATACACTGTTGTTTTATATTACCAGCATCACAATTTCTACTTTAGATTGCAGGGGAGGAAAGTTTGGTAAGCCAGAAATAGTAGAATGGTATTTAAGTTCCTAGTGAATCTCAAATTATGGAAGACACGTTCATCTCTAAAAGTTTACATAAATGAATTTCATAATATGTATACAAATCAAAGAGCATAGCAAGTAATAATATATCCTTGAGAGGTTTATTCAAATACAGGGGTTGTTTTATGTATATATTTTAATGTTAAATAACAATGAAGAACTACATATCTTCCACATTTATGTTGCTCCTCTGTATTACCCTCCAGCCTGTGGAGACTAAAGTTGCTACTTGATACTGTCTTGAGGATAGTCCTGGGAAGTTCGTTGCCTACTAGAGAAGTTGAGTTGTGAGACTGACACTTAAAATGGAGCATATAGAGGACTACCTGTACTGGGAGCTAAACATACATTGTTGTTACTCTTTTTATATAACATCATTTCACCTACCCAGATTGCTAAGTAATGAAATACTTTGAAGGAGATAATTTTTTATAGATAATTCAAGTAAATTTGTCTACTTATTCACTCAACAAAAAATGTAAACTAAAAAGTTTTTTTAAAGGAAACTATTCCAAAATGTATAACATATGCCCTCCCATCTTAGTAGAGTACAGTGAACACAGTCTTACTATGTATTGGTGACTCCTGCCCCTTATTTTGACCACTCGCTAGTATAACAGTTAATAAGACAGACGTCTCAACCAGGTGATGCAGTATGCATAGCTACACCTGCCTCCTAAGAGATTTGCCCTTCTGGTTAGTACTTCATTTTTCTCCTATATCATGGCCTTACCCATTCTCTGTCATCACTTCTTGACTTTAATCAATGGTTCCTTTAGCTATCTGCCATTTTCCTCCTATTTCTGTCCTCTGTTTAACCCATTAATTTTTTTACACTTTGCTTTTTTTCTCCTTATTTGCATCATCCTCCCTGCTCTTTCTCTGTGCCGTAAGGTTCTTGTTGCTGTTGTGCCTTGGCCTGGTGACCATTGGTCAGCAATGTGGGGATATCTCTTTCTGTATAGCCTTTATTAACCAGTCATAGAGTGTTTTTAGTTTTCCACCATTTTGGTAACTATAAAAGTCATGAGACTTTTTTGTTGACTACTGAATTCATATCTAATCTGAGACGTTAGGGCAGATATTTGATATTTGAATATTAAGCATTGCGATATGAAAAGCTAGCATTCTACACTAATGGCTGCCATACTTTATGTTCTTTAACCTATGCTGATGTTTCTGGTTATTATAAAGTATAGCCAGATTTGATGGCTATAAACCGTTTTAGCCCCCTTCCTACATACAGCGCATGAGCCTTTACAGATTTCACATTCAGTAGGGATCATTTGGTACTAGCATATCTTGTTTTACTTAAGAGATAAATCCTTGAAAAATTGAAGGCAAACTATTACCATTTCTATGTTGACTAAGATTATAATTTCCAAGGGCCTTTCTTTTGATTTATGAATGATTTATACTTGGCAGTGATTTCAACACGAGTTTTTTTTGCCTTCTCCAACCTCTAAGTAGTTAATTATGTGCAAAATAAAGTGTAAATACATGAGAAGAATTACTAAGGATGGAAATTCTACTTCTATATTTAGAATGATTTTCAAGACTACGAGTTGCAACAAAAGGTTTTTTCAGTGGGTAAGCCTAACATTGATGAAAAATAAGGTCCTAATATGTCGGGCGTTCCTATTTCCTTTTAACAACATATGATCAAACAGAACAGATGAGGTTAATTAGAGAGAATAGAAGATGGGGAAAAACAAGCAAAAGGCATTCTATTGTGAAGTCTGACATGTACAAAAGGAGGCTGGATTAAGTAAATCATTAATAGATTCTGGTAAATATGTTTTCTTAATTGGAATGGAGATTTTCTTAACTGGAAAGGAGAGACTTTGGGAAGGGGGGAGGTTAGTAATGAAAGAAGAGATAATTGAGGTAGAATTTCCCTGTTTTCTGGTATGAGACATTTATATACAGCCTCTTTACTTTCTTATCTCCAAAGAAAGGTATGCATATATAAATATAGATGTACATGGGAATATATATTTACTTGAACATACCTACAGGAAAACAATTACCAGGCAGAACCTCAGTTATCGTCAGAATATGACTCATGCTTACTGACTTAATGGTAGATTTTTTTTCTTTTAGTTGACGATGACCAATATCAGCTTTGAGGCTCACACTGTCATTATTCTGTTAATGTTCACAATAAGACAGTATTTTTAGATCATAGCTAGTCATTTTGGATAACGTCATGGTTACTTACTTGTATGATCTTAATGTGATCCATTTTAAATGTTGTGCATACACATACTGTAGATGCTATCGTGTGCCACTAGATCCTCCTCTTTAGGATTGAGACACTCACTGCCTTGGCTGCCTGGAGTGTTGCCTGCAGGTGGATCACAGTTGAGTCTCTTCCCAGGAATTTCCTTTGCCCAAAGGGAGCTGCCACTGCCTAGCTTACACTCCATCCCTGGAGGCAGCCCATTTTGTGGTCTGTGTGAGAGTACAAATTCCCAGCAGACCCCTTGCCTCAATTGGGGACGACTCTGAGGGGCCCTCACAGTTCCTCCCTTGGGATTGGCAATTGCATCAAATCCAGCTTTCCTCTTTGCCCCATTCCTCTTCCTTCACTTGTCCACAGGTGTTCTTCTCAGGGCACTCCCCAGTAAAAGTCAGGCAGTCAAATCACAGTCTCTGTTTCCTGGGGAACCTGCCAGTATGTAATTCAGAGTGAAATTACAGATAATTGTTGGCCTAATTTTAGAGTGTGCTGCAATTTTTGAAGGCCAATGTATAACACCTCTGTCTTCACTTTCCAAATTCTGAACCAAGTGAGAATTAGATATTAGAGTCAAAATATAGAAATAAAAATATCAATTTTATTATTGATACAATCAAAATTGGTGGTTGTGGCATGGATGTTCAGACAAATTCAGCTTCCTAATAATTCCTTGAGTTGAACATTTTTACTGTCCCGTCTCCCCCAAGTTTGAGACCTTTCCCTCTGGTGGGGCAGGGCCTACCCAGTAAAACTCCTTAGTGGATGTCTAGAATGGAATGAATCCCTCTCTGGGCAGGCAGCCCTTAGAGAGAGAACCCAGAAGGGGCAGAGGTGAGTGTGCTCACTTTCTTCTCC